GCACTGTGGAAACCTGGCACTGTGGAAACCCAGCACTGTGGAAACCTAGCACTGTGTAAACCTGGCACTGTGTAAACCTGGCACTGTGTAAACCTGGCACTGTGGAAACCCGGCACTGTGGAAACCCGGCACTGTGGAAACCTGGCACTGTGGAAACCTGGCATTGTGGAAACCTAGCACTGTGGAAACCTAGCACTGTGGAAACCTGGCACTGTGGAAACCTGGCACTGTGGAAACCTGGCACTGTGTAAACCTGGCACTGTGGAAACCTGGCACTGTGGAAACCTGGCACTGTGGAAACCTAGCACTGTGGAAACCTAGCACTGTGGAAACCTGGCACTGTGGAAACCTGGCACTGTGGAAACCTGGCACTGTGGAAACCTGGCACTGTGGAAACCTGGCACTGTGTAAACCTGGCACTGTGGAAACCTGGCACTGTGGAAACCTGGCACTGTGGAAACCTAGCACTGTGGAAACCTGGCACTGTGGAAACCTGGCACTGTGGAAACCTAGCACTGTGGAAACCTGGCACTGTGGAAACCTAGCACTGTGGAAACCCAGCACTGTGGAAACCTGGCACTGTGGAAACCTGGCACTGTGGAAACCTGGCACTGTGGAAACCTGGCACTGTGGAAACCTGGCACTGTGGAAACCTGGCACTGTGGAAACCTAGCACTGTGGAAACCTGGCACTGTGTAAACCTGGCACTGTGGAAACCTGGCACTGTGGAAACCCAGCACTGTGGAAACCCAGCACTGTGGAAACCCAGCACTGTGGAAACCTGGCACTGTGGAAACCTAGCACTGTGGATGCCTAGCACTGTGTAAACCTGGCACTGTGGAAACCTGGCACTGTGGAAACCTGGCACTGTGGAAACCTGGCACTGTGGAAACCTGGCACTGTGGAAACCTAGCACTGTGGATGCCTAGCACTGTGTAAACCTGGCACTGTGGAAACCCGGCACTGTGGAAACCTGGCACTGTGGAAACCTGGCACTGTGGAAACCTGGCACTGTGGAAACCTAGCACTGTGGAAACCTAGCACTGTGGAAACCTAGCACTGTGGAAACCTGGCATTGTGGAAACCTGGCACTGTGGAAACCTGGCACTGTGGAAACCTGGCACTGTGGAAACCTGGCACTGTGGAAACCCAGCACTGTGTAAACCTAGCACTGTGGAAACCTGGCACTGTGGAAACCTAGCACTGTGGAAACCTGGCATTGTGGAAACCTGGTACTGTGGAAACCTGGCACTGTGGAAACCTGGCACTGTGGAAACCTAGCACTGTGGAAACCTGGCACTGTGGAAACCTAGCACTGTGGAAACCTAGCACTGTGGAAACCTGGCACTGTGGAAACCTGGCACTGTGGAAACCTGGCACTGTGGAAACCTAGCACTGTGGAAACCTAGCACTGTGGAAACCCGGCACTGTGTAAACCTGGCACTGTGGAAACCCAGCACTGTGGAAACCTAGCACTGTGGAAACCTGGCACTGTGGAAACTTGGCACTGTGGAAACCTGGCACTGTGGAAACCTGGCACTGTGGAAACCCAGCACTGTGGATGCCTAGCACTGTGGAAACCTGGCACTGTGGAAACCTGGCACTGTGTAAACCTGGCACTGTGGAAACCCAGCACTGTGGAAACCTAGCACTGTGGAAACCTAGCACTGTGGAAACTTGGCACTGTGGAAACCTAGCACTGTGGAAACCTGGCACTGTGGAAACCTGGCACTGTGGAAACCTGGCATTGTGGAAACCTGGCACTGTGGAAACCTAGCACTGTGTAAACCTGGCACTGTGGAAACCTAGCACTGTGGAAACCCAGCACTGTGGAAACCTGGCACTGTGTAAACCTGGCACACGGAGCAGCATCGTTCGCAATGCCCCCCGGTCTTGTGCAGACAAGTCCTAATGTGATGAACGTGCCTCGCCATGCCATTAGCCTGCGCATTTGTTATCTGATGGATTTTCTGTAACATACAAAAAAACATTACACCACAGTCGCCCCTCACCCACCACCACCACTACCACCTTGGCAACCCCCATCCAGCACCCATTCCCGGCACGGTGATACCATAACTAATGATGAAGAGTCGTCTCGTTACCATTGACTGGCTGCCAAAGATTGCTAAAGTGCCTGACCAGGCAAGCACAGCGCCACGGAGTGATTTATTTGGCTTTTAAGACAATGGCATGAAATTATATATTTTTTTCTATCTCCCATTTTACATCAAATGCAGGTGTCAAATGCAAGCGAGATAATGTCAAGGAGCTTATTTGGATGTGGATTTATAGGAAAGGTTCTGCTCACTTAACGCAAAACAATCCCACGTTTGGTTATTGTGGGATGTAGGCGATGTCACTATTTTGCCACAGAGCTTGAGATGTTATCTCTTAACTGCCATTTTCCATGAAAGGGTGTGGGAGCACCTGTCAGCAATTTACAGGGGCGCCTTCCAATTTTCTGATGCGTCATCCGAAATAAAATACAATCTTTACGAACAACGCGTGAAGTGCAATCGTCACAGCATTTTCAATCTGAAAGTTTCGTAAAAGTACTATGGACAACCGTGTTCTAAAAAAATAATTACGCACAAATATATGACAGCCATTTGTAAATCCACATCTGGATGAAGTTCTCCCTTTTCGTTATCAGTTTTGACGGTTGCTTGATCATACTTCACTAATTGTGGCAGTACGAATTGTTAAAACAAGGTAGTCATGCCTGGTTCAGATATCACTCAACACTGATGTTAGCTGTGACCAAGATTTAAAGGGTGGTCATCGGGTTCATAGCGCAGTGCGCAAACCACTTCGTGTGGCTCTAAAATAATAGAAATTACCACGTACAATGCAATGAAAAATGTATAAAGTAATAATGCTTAGAATTATAAACTGACGTTTAACAAAACATTAAAAGGCCAAGTTTATATTCCCACTGCTACTGTCGCATCAATAACTTCAACGCGTAAATACGTATGGGTGGAAAGGTACCGTAGCACAGTGGTTAGCTCACTGCACTCTAAACAAGGCTACTTCGATTCAATTCCTGGTCACAGCTAATGTCAGTGGCAAATCATATCTGAACCGACCTGGGGCCCCCATCTCACCTTCACCAACCTACTTTGACTCGCGTGGTGTATTATGGTCCCTCATCCCCCGTGACTGAAAGTCATGGGGAAAAAAACAACATCAGGCGATTTGTTGAAAAGATGACCTTAATATCATACGTAGAATTACATTTCTTAAATGCATGCTGGGTTAAAATATTGATTACTGACATGTGTTATGGCTGCATTAATTAAAACTTCTGATTTTTTTTTTAAATAACGGCGTGCTTTAGTGAAGTGTAGCGGTTTAACAATGCAATTGATTCATTCGCACCTGTACGAATTTATGTATTTCATTCCTATATATGCAGTGTGTAATTAAACTAGATTCGAAGCTTTCGTGACTGCAGGAATTACTTTTTGGTTATTTCGGTAAATTCACGTAGAAATAAATTAAATTAAATAATAATAGAATACGACGTTTCGATTGCAACACAAGCAACCATCATCAGGTACAAATGAATGAGAAAACAAACACAGTAAACTTGGAAATATAATGCAATACAACACAGAGAGTCGGCCAACACAAGTCAACACCCCAACTGGTTGATTAACGTTCTTCCAAAGATTGCTAAATTTGAGAGAGAGACAAAACATAGACATGGTTGCTTGTGTTGCAATCGAAACGTCGTATTCTATTATTTAATTTAATTTATTTCTACATGAATTTACCGAAAGAACCAAAGAGTGTGTAATTAAATTTTGATTTAAAGCTTTCGTGACTGCAGTAATTCATATTCTTAGTTTTTTCGGTAAAGTCACGTTGAAGAGAAACAACAAAATAAAAAAAACTAAGATTATAGTGTGTAATTAGTTCACTCGACCCCTGCATTCACTATGTTCACTAACATTTTTAAAGGAAAATATTTTTTTTATTGAATTATAACCTCGAATCATTTACACCCCTGGTAAAGTGTTCCCCAAAACTCATCCTCCCATCGGTCTGGAGTGACACCACAGACACAAGCCACGCACAATTATGTCAGGAGTTGTAGCCTTGAATGTAACTGGCATTGTTATTGCAGGCCGTAACATGCTAAAATAGCTTATATATGTAACTGACATCATGGGACTGGAATGAATAATGCTTTAGAGAGTAGTTTTAAAACCAGTGCAATTTAAAATCATAAGCCTGCTTATAGTGAGCCATAAAATGATCCAATTTGCAGGTTGCCATGACTGATGTAATGACCACATGGTAGCAAGTTGTCTCTGTAGTTTTGTTTTTGCCTGCAGCTCGTTTTTTTGTATTGAGTGCCCCCGTGCTAACCGATAGTGCTTCTATCTTTGCGCGAGATTGTCACTGCGACTCATTCTTACATGTGTAGTAGTCGTAGATGGAGTCGGAGTCGGAATTAAACACTTTTATTGATGTCCTTAACAACGATTCACTAGGTCCTTAACACGAAGGGGTAACGGCCCCTTCTACCCACAACCTAGGGAGGTACAGCCTCCGGGCTAGCTTACTCTAGCGTTGGGTCGAACGACTACTCTAGCCCTCCGGCTAGCCGGACCTAGGGGAGGCTGACCCACCGCTGGCACCGGTGGGTCTTCGACCACTGGCCCGTCCAGATCCGGCCCTGAGAAGGGCGTCGGGCTGAGGGAACCTCAGGGTCCTAGCCTGCTGATCACTGGCACCACACTGAGCCCCGGCCCTCAGAAGGACGTCAGGGCTTGGGGTCCAGGATCTCCTCTTCAGGCGGCTCCTCGGCTTCGGCTTGAGACGAACTGCCTCCTGCTCTCAGGAGCCCACCTTTTATACGATTTCCCCCACCGAGGGGCGGGGTCCCGAGGGATCACAGATCCCTCGCAGCCCCCTCCCCTCAGGAGGGGTTCTGGCCACAGGAAGCCCAACCAATCTGTGCTTGTTTGATCCCACTTTCTGCCTAGGAGCAGGGTTCCGGGGGATCCCACACACACTTTACAGCCTCTACCCCTCAGGCGGGGTCTCAATCAGGGTTATGAATGACCCCGCTCTGGTAGGTACTGTGTAGCGTGTGCGTGTTTACAGAGTGACCACCACACATGCAGCAGCCACTCTCTTCCAACGGCTGTTCATGTAGTCCAAACGCTGCCACTTTGCTCCAAAGTCAAAATCGACTCTGTTGCAATATCGCATTCATCTGCAGTGGATGCTCCAGTTTTCTGTCAAACATAAATAATCAAGACAGAATTACGCAACATTCTAAAAGCAGCATCCTCCTGAACATGATTACACAACGAGCATCATCCCAAATGAAACTGACATATAAAAAAATATCTTGGGAAGTAATTCTTCCTATGATACAAATGATAGATACCTGCACAAATTCGTCATGATCATCATCATCATCATCTGTGATCCATTCGCTGCAGGAAGAAGGCCTTCGCCATCTCTTATGATCCTCGGATGTCGTAATCCGCCGAGCACATACTCACTGGCTGATTTCTTTGCTCCGTCTCGTCGGTCGCCATCCTCTCAAGGGGAACGTTCCCTCCTTTCACTGCGACTCCACCGTCATTCTTGAGCATCGGACCTTTATCCCTTCTCGCGAAGTGTGCCGAATTCAAATTGCAATGCGTGATTTTTGAGCAGCATTCAGATAATAAGAACATTTAGCGCGGCATCTCATATTTTCATAACGTGTTGACAGTTTTAAATGCGCAGAGTAAAAGTGGGCATTTAAGCGGCACCATCTGAAGTGGCTTTACAGTCAGCCTGTGGATGGATATAAATTGGCGTTCAACCGAAGAGTGTATGACCTTACCGCTAAAGGTTGTTGAATGATCCAAATAGGTCTTGGAAGATGGAATGGGATGGGACGAATTTCCGTGTAAGTGGCACTCAATTAAAACAATTTTCATGAAAGAATAATCTCTCGCAAAAGCACTGTCGCACTTATTAAATACGTTTTGATCTTAATTATGGGACGGCAGGGCCAAGCTAACGCCCTTGCCACATCAAGTCACTTCACTTTGGTCCGTCGCTAGTCTTATTGGGTTATACAGGTCTCCTTTGATATTTAAATAACGCGTCATTGCCCTTATACTCTCACTTAGCCCTACTGTTTCGTGTGATAATATTAATAATATTGCACGAAGGTAATTTAGCACTTTATTAAGAACTGTCCTATTTATAAAAAAAACTATTTTTTTCTTAAACTGCAATATGTATACAATGTAACATTATACTGTACTTTATGTCTCCCCGTCAAAGTGAAAGCTATTGCACTCCGCAGCTCCTTATTGCGCCACATATAATAATAGCCTCAATAATACATTAATGCTCGTTTAAGAGGCTGCATGTGATGCATTTAAATGGACAATAATGCATGTACATTTTTAAGTACCCCTTTTCAAACATTTAACGTCATCCTATATGCCTTATACCACTGTTTCATGTTGATCATAAGCACGGACATTGACAAAGAAAATGGAACAAAAGCGTTTGAGCGACGCAACGAAGCAGGGAATACTGCACGCGAGCAGAGGGCCGCATGGATCGGAGAGGATAGAGACATCACATTAACTGTTAAAAAATGTAAAGTGGGCTCGGGCAAAATCACTTCTCTAGAAGGAATAATGGCCATTTGTTAAAACTAACAATGGAATGTCAGCCAAAATTGTAAAATTCGTTAGAGGGCATACAACAGGGAGATGAAATTGGTGATATCAGCTCATGCCTTGACGGGCATCGCAAGAGTTTGACAGATAGCAATGGCTGGGGGAGACCTTCATCCAGTTGTGGATAGATCAGGGCTGATAATGACATCTTCCCATACTTGCCTAAATGTGGCCCAGATATAAAGAGCACTTTAATATACCACTATGCACCGTGCCATTCTCAAGCGCCCTTCAGAGAAAAAATAAAAAATAACTATACTGTGTTTTTTTTTAAATCTTGCACAATCACAATGTTTGTGTATGCAGTCAAATATGTTTATTTATCTGTTCCCCCAAAGTTAAATAATTCGCAGAGCCGAGACATGTTGCAACCTCTGCGCGTCTCGCCGTGCTGGGTATGGCCCCGTGGTTTTGATGTGTAACGCGCCGGGCCCCCAGTGTGCCTGCACGCAGTGGGGGGTGGGGGCATTGTGTCTCCGTGTGTCACTTCGGCTCATCGTCTCGTGCGCCTCCGCCTAATTAGTGCCGAGGAGGCTCGCGTGAGAAGTGAAGATCTGGCACCGGTCTCCGCTCTCCGAGAAGCCAACCTCGCCGCGGACGAGACGGAGGGCGATTTGTTGGGATGCCGGCTTCCCGCGGGCCCTCCGGCCAGTGTGGCAGCGTCGTCGTCAGCAGCACGCCCGTGGTAAGAGGAGGCAGTTTCTCTTTTTTCCGAGCACATCCAACAATTTGCGCCAAATTTACCTTTAAAAAAAGTTAAAGGTGCAGCCCTGCAATGTCTTGCTTACGTCACTGCCGGTGGAAGGACACTGCACTCGAGGGATCTTTAGAGAGCCCCCCTGGAGGGTATTTTGGCCGACGCTTTCACGCTGGCCAGGGGTCTTGGAAGAGGTGACATTACCCACACTTTTTACCCCGCCACGCACAACCTGCTGATCGCGTAACTAGTTTGGTTTGCAGATTTTAAAAAAAGTTGTTAATCAGTGTATCTTGCCCGCTCTGATATGTGGATGCGGAAACGTGGACATTGACAAAGAAAATGCAACAAAATGCAAACAAAATGACTTAATGGGGTCTATCATCAGCATTTATCATCTTATTCAAGTTATTATTACGAGGCTGGTTTTATAAATAGAGGTACACAATCTACAATCGAGGCAGCAAACATGAACTTGAATCTAGCAGCTGATTGAGAACAGATGATGACTATTTTATTATAGTTATGAAGCATATTCTCACTTTGTTCGTCTGAAACTCCTAATAGCTCCCTTCGCTTCCCATCATCTTGTTAATTTTCTGAGCGTACCCATCCCTTCTCCCTTCCTCAACCTCTCCCAAACCCCCGAACCCCTAAACCATAATCCTCACTATATTTTCCAGACTGTATACCATGCAAAAATTATTAAAATACACTTTTTTTTCTGGGGGGGTGGGGAGCTCAATAATGCATTTCTTTTTTGCACGGCAAGTGAGCTGTGACGTCAAATCTGTCACGTGACCCGCGCACGTGGAAGCGTAACGCATTGAAGTGTAGTGGTTAGCGCGCTGTGTATGTGTCTGTGTGTGTCTGTCTGTGTGTGTGTCTATGTGTGTGTCTGTGTGTGTGTGTCTGTGTGTGTCTGTCTGTGTGTGTGTGTCTGTGTGTGTGTCTGTGTGTGTGTCTGTGTGTGTGTGTGTGGAAGCGTAACGCATTGTAGTGTAGTGGTTAGCGCGCCGCGCTACGAACCTGGCGACTCGAATTCGATTCCCGCTCACGGCCACCACCGGTGACGATTATTTGAACCGGTCCTGGGCCTCCCCTAGGTCGACTCAGCCTCAAACGAGTAATTGGTGTGGTGTGTGAACATAGCCACTGAGGAAGACAAAGGCGGCCGAGCCTGGTGAACCCAAGTCCAGGGCGAAGCCGGGTAGTAAAGCCAGTATTATATAACTATCACGCTCGTAACTAAAATTATCGTGACAATCTCAACACTAATGGGAATAATAGGATCAATTAGAATCTGTTCAAAGACACAAACAGGAGGGCCAGACCAGATAACCACTCTCTTCTTTATGGCTACCACATTTGCATTTCAGCGAATTTTCCACAGAGCCTGCTACACTTTCAATAGATGGTAGCAACACCCACTAGTGTTTCCTAAGATATGGTGAAAGGACAACAGGTTTTTTTTTGCAGCAGGGATGGTGTTGCTGCAAACAGCAAACACAAAGTGACATGCCCGGCAGACACTTCATGTTTATTTGTCACAAATATCTCGGACTTGCTGCCGCTCTAAGAATGTTAATGCAGGCAAAGTCATGGGATCTGAAAGGGCTCTTCTGTGGATTTTGTCGTTATGTAAACTGTTCGGAATTTTCAGGATGTGCATTTCTTTGCTATTTACATATGAAGCCTGTTTGTCAATCTACCGCTGGATGAGGATCTCTCCACGCAGTGGTTATTGTTGGGAGTTATCTGACCATATTTCAGCTCATTGGTTAGCGTGTGTTGGTGAAGGCTTATAAGTACGGTACAACAATGGATTTCGCTGCATTGCCCCTCTGCTGCCCACCACATAGCCCCGTTGCCCTATGGCAATCTGTTTTGTGCATGGTGCTCACCCACTCAAGCACTACCCAGGCCCAACTTTGCTCACCTTCCAATATATGATGATATCTGACAAATTCCAAAGCGATTTGGTGGGGTGATTTGGTGATATCCCTTGCTATTTTCTGTATAATAATGTGATAATAATAGTAATGTATAATGCACCGCTGGATTAAAATGTCCCATGCCTTCTGCTCATGGAGGTTGTTTGACCATACTTTGCTACGCTGGTCAATGCGGGTTGTTGAAGGAATGGGGTGTCGGAGTGCCAAGAACCGGTTTAGATATCACGTGCCACTCATGTTAACTGTGGTCGGGAATTCAACTCAGATCCCTGGGTTCAGAGCTCCTCCCAAATATCTATAAACTGTTCTTATGTACGTTAATACACTGTCAAGATGTGTGTTTTGTAACTATGTAGCTAGTAATTGATCCAGACATTTATTGAATTGTCATTATTCTACGTAAGAATTTGTCTCAAAATTTATACTTTTCGTCAAAATGTCATTGGATTGTTTCCCACATAATTGTCCGTTGTACATTTTTGTTTGCTGTATCATTATCTTGTATTGTAATTGTAGACAATTTATTTCGAACTCAGTGGCAGATCCGGGGGGAGGAGGGAATCTCCCCACCCCCTCCCAGACCTGAAAAATTGGTAGTTCATTTATATATATGGCAGAGAAAATACATTCAATGTTTTTATTATTATAAATTATTAATGTAAGGACCTATTTAAAATATACAAATTTCAGGACCACCCCCCCCCCCCTGGAAAAGTTCATAATTCTACCTCTAACTTAAAGGCATAATTCGATTAATGTAAAAATCAATGTTCTGTACCTGATCCACCACTACATCGCTAATTCTAAGCGTTATATTTCTGTAACCCAGTACTTACGCCATTGTTGTTCATGGCAAGGCCCGCGGGCCACTGACGGCCCCCGATGGCCTTTCGTGCGGCTCCCGACAATGCACAAAGAGTAAAAACCCTCCCCCATCATCATCACCATCATCATGCTGCTGTCAACCCCCAGTGGTTTCACACACTGATGATGGATTCGTGAAGAACACCGATTTACGCGATGCACACGTACCACTGTTTTTAACAGCATCTTGAGATGCGGTTGCGATGAGGCTCTTCATAAAGCCTACATTGCATTACGTCTGTAATCTTTATCTCACACAACTACGTGAATAGCAAACAGGTGAGTGTGTTTAATTGTTGTTGTTGCCTTGTCAGAAATGATATATTCACAATGCACACACAACATGTCGTGTCCTATTTAAATTGAGGGCCACCAGCTGGATAACGAGCATTAGCGTGCTGAGAAAGGCAGACAGAATATTTTTTTTTAAAGGACCTCATATGTGCCTCCTGCATATTCACACTTAAATCCACTGGCTTCGTTATTCTCGAGGGCAGTTGAGTTCCTCGCAAGGACATTGGCTCTTCGGGAAATGTTAAGTTTTCACGACACCCGGCACATGCGTCGTCATTTTAATTATTGGCTCGTGCTCTATCCGCTGCCGAATGAAGGTTTCACCAAGGCTGTTGCCATCTCGTGATGATATAATTCATCCAGCGTCTGCACCCGAGATTATTTCATTGCTCCATCTCCGCAGTAGACGGCCTCTTGGGTATGTTCCCTCCTTTGGCGGCGGCCGCTCCATCATCAGTTGACCATCGGCCATCATCCATTCTAGCGATGTTTCCTGCGCAAGCCCACTGTTCATAACAGTCAATGTGAAGTTTTTTTTAACTGAATCTCTAATCCGCGTGTTGCTATTTCTGTCTCTCAGTGGAATTCCAAGCACGCATCTCTTCATGCTTCATTGCGCATATTTCAGCTTTTGTTAAAATAAAATGCAATGTCCATATTTATGAACCTGTATATAATGGCAAATAATATAACCTGGTTAAAACCTTTCTTCTGTGTACCTGCATATGTATCATGTTAATCATCATCTGTGCTCAATAAACTGGTGAATCAAAGTTTATCATTGTTCATGCCTCAGTTTTTAGATGATGTATCTCCATATATACGCGTCAATTTAAACCGGTTATTATGCTCACAGTAAAACTCAAGAGGTTATTATAGCCATTGCTGCTGATGCCACCATCAATCATCTTCGCTTCCTTAGCACAATTTGAAAGATTTGGTTGAATAATGTACCTTGGCAAATAATGTATGCACTGAGTATGCAAATGTATGTGGATTATTTGTGTAACGTTGCATTGATGGGATAATGGAGTAAACAAAACTGGACAAATGGGACAAACATGTTTGTTAAGCAATAAAAATTAGGCGGTAAAAATGAGTCAAATAAAATACAATTCTCAATCACTATCCTCAATAATTACAATTCAAGAATGGTTTGGGAATGAATCATCACAGCTCTTGGTAAATCACATGAATGAGCATGGAATAGTTTAGTATCCAAATTAGATAACGCATACAAAGATATAATCAAATGTTAACTTTACATAAAATTACTAAAGAATTGAATACCAAATAATAGTCCCTTTTATGCGTTTTTCACTTGGAGCTGCACACACGCACCCACATTATGTGATTGGTACAGTATCCAGATGAAGAATGGTCACGAGTCACGTCAGTTTTGCCCAACGACCACCAACAAGGCTTCAATTTTACCGCATACTTTAAAAAAAAACAGAATGCTGTCCCTTTTAAAGGATTAACACATGCCGTTGTGAAATTTAACAGGTTCCGCTTGCTGGCAGAAACACGTTCCCTTGTCGACGATAACTGCTTTGTGCATTCCAATGAGCACCAACCGCGACTGGTCAAGTTGTCTTGGCAAAATATATGCAACGACAAAGATCACCCGTATAGCCTGAGCAGACTTTTGGAGCAAGTGCTGTTCGTGAGCGCCAATGAAAGCCGGCAAGGCACACGAGGGTGTGGGTGGCCAGTAGCACAACCTTTGTCTCATTTCTAGGTATGTTATACACACCGCACCAGATACTCGGTTGAGGCTGAGTCGACCTAGCGGAGGCCTAGCACCAATTCAGATAATAGTCATGGATGTTGGCCGTGAGCAGGAATTGAACTCGGGTCGCTGCGTCGGTGGCACAGTGCTCTAACCGCTACGATACCGCACAAATATACACACGCACGGGCATGTCACAGAATTAGTTTCACTCTGGATATCAACTACAGACGTGTGTCTCATCGATGTGTGCAGAGCTGTTTTCTGGCCAAATTCACACACACACATATAACATGTATATCCACTTGAGTGGATTTTTATTGTAAACTACCTGTTCCACAGCAGTATACGTGAGATAGGAAATGTTTTCATCAGCCTGTCAGTCATATTAGATAACTACAATATTTTTTTCATAAAATTTATTTTTAGTTTAATGGGCTCGACTGTTAACGTTACATATATTTAAGCGGTTCACTGCATCAAGGGAGAATACTGAAATCATTAACAGTGCAGCCATAACTTAAATCCGCCTCCTATTCTGTCTCTCCGCATTAAAATGAAAAATATATAGTTTAAGGGCCTTTTGGCCTTTTAAACTCCAGCAATTGTTGAAGCACGCAAACTCATGGAGACACAGAACAGAGGCTGAATAATGTATTTTATTACCCAGAATGCCCCACAACAGGAGTTATTAGCAATGCTCCTGGGCTTTGGCAGGATTGCGGTTGGACTAGTTTCCTGATCAAAATATTACCGTCAATTTGGTGCTCATTTCCCAGTGTGGTGGCTTGAAGAGGGTGGGTAGGGGGGGTGAGAGAATATTTCACTGGCTACTTAGGGAGAGCAAGTTTTAGAGAGGCCTTCACCACATAAGGGGCCTAGAATCGATCGTGGCTTCTTGTGGGTTCTTGGAATTTGGACAAACATCGAGCAAGTCTTTTGCACCACTTTAATGGATTGCGATGGATGTCTCCCTGACAAGTTCTCTCCCAGTGCGGGTGCAGCATCGTGCAGCACGTCAGTCCAGGGAGGAAGACTACACTCGGCCGTTTCGTCCATTTAAGATTGTTAAATATTTGATGATGCCCCTGCTCAAGAGAATAGCCATTACGTACCAGTTTGACGGCCACATTAATGTGTAAAATTCACAAAAACTGGAATGTTGCGTTCCCTATTTTGTGTGGCACTGGTCACGGTGAAACCTTGATCCTGTTAATTATCTATAAAACGAATTAGATTTTTTGCTGCATAACATACATATTGTACGTCATATCTCAGAAAGTATCACCATGGTAACTTATGGGCAATAATCTACCTCGGGTATGTTCATTATGATCAGCTATGATCAATCCACTGCTGGATGAAGGCCTCTACAATATGCCGCCATCTGTCATGATCTCGCGACGTACCAATTCACATTGCACCTGCCCGCTTGCGGTGTTCATTTCTCCACTTCGGAAATAGATATCCTCTTGGATGAGTTCTGTTCCTTGGCTGCCACTCCGTTACTATTATTGACCTCTGCCATGATTTCTTCTCGTGACGTGTCCTGCCCAAGCACACTGACTTATCTTGTCGAATGGTCTTCGCTGGGCGGTGGTGGCCGATACCTCTAATCCAGCACCTGTCGAGGTGCAGGATGTTGGATCACATATGTTGTGAAGCTCTCTCTTCCTGTCAGAGTCGAGGTGCCCATACCCTGGCTTGCCAGGAGAAGGCGTTACAGAAAAGTGCATACGTATATGATCTGTCCCTTCTGTATGGGATAGAGTGTTGCCCCCTTGCATGTTTACATTTTCTCCAGTTTCCTCCAATAATGAATGAAAACATAGTAATATATAGAGGCCAGATGGTGCCAGCTCACCATCTGGCCACATTCAAGCTTATTTGGTTTCTCAGCGATTGTGAGATAAAATTTGCATGAACGTTCGTGGTATATAAAACTAAACATTAATATTATTGAATTATTATACACGTGTAAATCCAAGAATGCATGACGAATTTATCATACAGTAACATCCTTTTACTTCAAATATATTTTAAGTGAAGACAATCAGCAGCAAATATAGTCTGTTAACTAGTGGTACATTGACTTCTCCAAGACAGAGGTTCTTTGCAAGCCATCTGGCTACCATGAGAGATTCGTTCATGAGGCTATCCACATATACAAACACAGAGACAATTTCAACCGAGAAGATGGATTCTGGCTTAGCAATCATTGGAAGGATTTGATAAGTCATTTCGGGTCTTTATTGATTGTTCACGCTTACGGTGGCTTTCAGACCGCATCAATTATTTTCGTCTCCCCCTCCTCTTTTCCGAACATAGATGGACTCGTCCATCTGAACAAACTGTCAAATCGCTCTCCGTGGTGCTAACGTTAATAAACCGTCTCTTTTTTTCAAATGTTTTTGCTGTGGTTTTCACACCTGATGATGATTGCTTGTGTTGCAGTTGAAACGTCGTGAGAATTTTATTGTTTTATATTTTTATTATTTTATTGTTTCCCTTCTACGTGACTTTACCGAAAGAACCAAGAATATAATTGTACAGGCTTGTAGTATTTTCCACATTGAGTGCTGTACAATTGCATATTTATTCTACACTTATCTTAACTCATTACATAATCCGGACAAATAAATGAGTGTAAAATTTTCCACATGTTTTGTTCAAACAAAATCTGTCCCTTATGTAAATATCAAACATTGTAACACTGCTGAATGACGATGGTGTGTGTGTGTGGGGCATACAGTATTTTATTAAAATGTGTTTCTTCACATCAGATTGCATCCTGTTGTGAGACCGGTGCTGTCACGCTTGGCTTCAACAATAGGGGCCTGCTACCTAGCAAAGCAATAATCTTGAAGCTGATGGACAAATAGATACAAATAAAAAATACTGCTATGACCCTTGGGGCGCGTGTACCGGTGGCGGCATTGGAGGTAGAATGGAAAAGGGCCACTGTGTGCCATTCAGAATCTGTATTTATACTGGAGGAATCCGATGAGCTATGAAGCTCTATTCACAGATCTCCAGTATGAGAGGGTCAGAGTATTACAACAACAAACAATACAAAAGGATGATGGGAGTTAAAAATATTCCACTCAGTGAACAAAGAAACCCAATAGCTAAACTATATTTGTAACCTCAGGGGTGGCACTTAGGCTTACGCAAACGAAGAAAAAACGCAGTGCCCCAGGTAGTCAAAGGACCCCGGATTCATAGAAAAGATGGGTGTATGAAATATCAGCTCAAATCCCCCTCCCCCCCCCCCCAAATAATAAACTATTGAACATACACATGCAAATGAATCACCCTCGCCTCTATTTTATTCACATATCTCTTCTCTCATCTCACTACGACTATTTTAGTGTGCATTCCTCTTATCTTACCGCACCTACATATGTTGTATATATATATCTCCTATGCGATATTACTAGAATCTAATAAATCGAGAGCGAGGAAGCCCCGAAAATATGCGTTGCTGCTTCGGGCCCTCGGTGTTTGTAAGGTCGCCGGGCCCATTCTGGGCGAGGTTGTCCAAGTTCAAGGCTCCCAGAGGATCGCAGAGAGTTCAGCCGCAACCCGGTTTCGGTTCAAAGTCTGCGCTCAAATCCCACGCGTCGCTTCGGAGGGGAAGCGTGAAATTAGCGCCAGAGACTCGAGTCATCTGTGGCCTGAAAGGACATTGGACATTAGAATGCGTAATTGTACGTACTGTCATTTTCATGGCTGATTGAGTTAAAAATAAGCATTTTTTTTTGCAATTTCCTACAGAAGAAATTATTGCTCAGATAGTTTCCTCCCCCCCCCCCCCCCATTATTTCTACCTCGTTTTTTTATGGAAATCAAATACTAATTAGATTAATAATTCAATTTCCCTAATTCTTTCGCTTAATTTTTTAAAATCTTTTTTTACTTAATGCTTTCATATTCTTAAAATGTGTACGCATCAGTCAAAGTAGGTTTCGCCAGGGAAATGAAGACTTTTGGGGGATTTTTAAATCGACTTTACATTTGCTTTGTTTAAAAAAAAAACTTTAACGTTAAATCACTTTAGAGAACTCTAAGGATGCATTCGGGCTAACTAATGCTTTAATCGCAATAGCTGGTTTACAGGCTCCTTGATGTGTGTTGTATCTCACCTGAAGTGTTGTCAGTATCGCCCAGATTGCTGCAATTTGCTGTGGCTTAGCAGCATTTACTCAGACCTGTGTTTTTTTTTTAAATAATGCATGATTGTTGCATGGCAGGCATGTGCAAGCATGCATTTTGAGAAATATTATAAGGCACCATGAGCATTAGGGACCTGAAAAGGCAATTAATTGTATTGATTAAATAAAATAAAGCATCATTATAGAGCAAAAGCCCCTCGAAACAGATTTCTATATTGGTAACAATATTGCAGGAATTGGACATTAATTCAATAGCAAATACGTCATGACGACTAAAACAATAGGCCCTACTGAAACTAGTTGCAACCAATTCACTATATAATTAAGATATAATTAACGGTGACAGGTGTTGAAGGTGTGCGCAGATAAATCATGGACGTTTGTGAATTTAAAATAAGGACATTAACTATACAAACCCCATGGTAAAGAACATCTGAAAGGAGTGATGTATATGCCATTACAAATCAGCTGCAAATTACTTTCTGTCTTCTCAGACAAAATAAGTGGGATGCCCAATCTGATTTCAGCGATTCTTTTGAGCGTTCGGTCACAGCTCAGTTAACAAACAAAAGTCACTCTGCAAAGCGTCTTTTTCCCTTCCTATTATATATTTATGGTCCATTTTCATCACTTTCTGCCACTCAGCGCCGCACTGCTAAGCAGGGCGCATGGATTTAAGGAAAATTGGTACTTTAAGGGCTTCTGTAACGCCCAGGCAAGAACCACTGATGGAGCTGCCGTGGCCACCATTGCGTTAATGCAGCTTTGAACATCAATCCGGGGGCCCCATGTGACCACCGATTTCTCCAATAAGTAAGGCTCCATTAAACTTTGGAGTGCACAGAGTGTATATATTACCTATGAATTGCTGTGCCATGGTTAGCTTGAAGACCTGAGAATTGTGCATGTCCAAGTTCGCATGCCGTGGGCGCGGTAGTGACGCTTGCCCATTGGGGGCGCTAAGCAGATGACAGAAGAGATATAGCCAAGAGCTATCGAAATGGCAGGAGATGAGAGATGTGTAGACAAATTACAGAGCTGTAGGGATATGAGATAAGAGAGATGCAGATAATACAGATCCAGTGAAAGGAGAGAGATGGAAATAAGAGACGAAGATGGAGCGAGATGAGAGACCAGAGATACAGAACAAATAGGGATATAATATTAAGTTGCCTTTTTTGTTAATTATCTGTTTCATGTGCATCAAGATTTGAATTTGAGTTCATGTTTGGTTAACTCCTATTCGACAAGTAGAGGGAGTTCTTTAGTTTTTTATTAGCTTGGTCTTAAGATGAAAAAAATATTGCTTGGTTATTTTTGCCTCTTTACTTTGTTGGTGATGTAACCCGTGGCGTTGCCTTCTCATTTCTCCCAGCAGTGACCTTGTGGCTGCCCACCACCTTCGTATCGCTCGTCCCCACTATGACCGCTCGTCCCCACTATGACCGCACGTCCTCACTGTGACCGCACGTCCTCACTGTGACCGCACGTCCTCACTGTGACCGCACGTCCTCACTGTGACCGCACGCCCTCACTGTGACCGCACGTCCTCACTGTGACTGCACATGCCCACTGTGACCGTACGTCCTCACTGTGACCG